GGTTCTCCATAATCTTTTATTTCAACTTTATATTAACTAGATTCACCCTCCATTACAAATGGCAATTCTGATTTTATTCTAGAAATATTATACAGATCAGGTGTGTTCAGGGTTTTATTTATCAAGGTTGTATTTATATACATTTAAAGTAATATGTACAGAACCCAGACGTGTCAAATAGCCTGTTTTTTCCGTGAGACTCACAGATTCACGACCTTTCTCCCGATTCTCCTGTTTTTTCATTGCTGGTCTCCAGTTTTTCATACATGGGGGTTGACACATCTGTCAGAACCTTCACGCAAATCGTAGTCTGTTCAAATTTATATTAAAAATATTCAACTTTATCTTATCAACTCACTGGATTACAAACGGCTATTTTATCCTAAAATTACAGATCAGGTGTAACCTTCATGAAAATTTGAAGATCCTGGTCAAAGACTGAAAGGGATTTAGTCAATGAATGAAATGCTGTATTTTTCACTATTTGACAGTAAAAAATTGATAATTGAAATTAATAATGGGAGTGGTAACAGAGAACTGTGTTTGTTTTAGATAATTAGGTCTGTCATTGAGTCAAGTGGTGTGGTTTCGATTCCTTGCTGACAAGGAGTAGGTTCACCGGTTTAATCTTGTGGGTTTTCTACGATCCTCTGGTTTCCTCCCACTGCTATAAAGACCCATATGCACAATCGAATGATTGAAATGATATTGAACCATATGGTAGTCGAGGAATGAAATACATGTAGTTTGTGTTGAGTGGACTTTATATGTAAACTTATCATCGCGATTTTGAGTGAATTTTGTGCTCTCTCTCGCTCTCTCAGTAAGAGTTTTGAGTCTTAAGTGGGTGTTCTTAGTATGCTCTAAGTCTTAAGTGGATGTTGCCCCCCCCCTCTCTCTCTCTCTCTCTCTCTCTCTCTCTCTTAACAGTAGAGAATCAGAACTTGCTTTGCAGTAGCAGTAAGGGATTAAAACTGTAGTATCTCATATGAAACAGTAGTAGTATGACAGTTGACCTTGAGAGTATAACTAGACTATGTTAATTGTGTTTAAATGAAGACCAGATGATATATATACATAACATTGTTGTCATTTTATATATAAATCTAGTAATTACTGGTCAGATATCTACACCATACTCATTTCTTTTATCTTAGCATTTTATACAATGATAATTATAAACATCTTCTTAACCAGGGCAGTGCATTGCCATAAATGTAGCTGAGTAGTTGTTTTGTGCTTTGAAGAATGATTTTTGGACCAGGGACTGGTCGCTAACCACTACTCATTCTCATTGTCTTCTTGTTTTTCTTGTTCTTGGGGGTGACTCTCTTCGAAATAGCCTTAGGCTCCAACACTTCAAGTTCAATCGACATGAAATTTGGCATGCTTATTCTCTGAACAATTCTGAATATCATCCAACAACATGGTCAGAAGAATCCAGGGGAATAACGATCTAAGTCACATTTTTGTCTTTTCGCATAAAAGGCAAACAGACTTTTGGATGAGAATGCTTGACGCGAACAGAACAATGAGTGGGTTTAATTACAACTTCAAAATGATGTTTAATACGAATCATAATTACCAGTACAACAACTGACTTCCACTTTTAGGTAAAATTACGGTCGCATGTTCGAGAACTTTCTTGGTCAACACCAGAGTCGAACCCAAGGCCTCTTGGTTATATAGCGAACTAGTGCCTTAATTGCTAAACCACCACAGATTCCTACCTTCAACTGTCTCTAAAAACAATGGCTATAGATTGTGTATATGTACCAGTATGTAAAACTGTGTTACGGTTTTATTCCTTGTACAAGAACTAATATTGACTCAGGTATCGTGTTATACAGTTCATCTAGATCATCCGACGGTCTTATTCTACTCCCGACTAAAGTAAATAGTCATCGGATTAAATTCTGTCTTTAGTAGAAATCAAGCCGCTTGACTTTTACATAAATAAACCGTCTTGTAGATCAAGCATGTAAAACAAGAATCAGATTTATTTTAACTGCGATTAGACAGAGATAATGTTATCAAATTAACCCTAGGTAGAATTTTGCCCAGGCTGGCATTAGAACTTAACTACTGTCTTTTTATACTCACCTGGAGTCTGGTAGCGTTAAGAGTAACAGAAAAATACCGAAAATTCTGATAATTAAGTGTTGTGGGCGAGGCCCTTATTAGGATCTAATGTGAAGATATGAGGGGGACCAAAGAGCAAATGGAGGTTGGGTGGTGCAGTGATGTACTGGCCATTGAGTCACCTCCCCTGACCTCAAAATAAAAACATACATATGTTAGACTCAGAGCATGCACATTTCATTTTTTTTGCAGTTTCAAGTACGATATATCGTTGCTGTCAGAACAATTAGCCAGTTTCACTTATAGTTCATGTGAACGCAACACTCCTTTGGCTTAAAAAGACAGAGAGAAATGGGGCTTAACGTTCACTCGACACAAACTAGGTGATTTCGGGACTAACACATGGTTCAATTTTATTTCAATAATACGCTTGCGCGTTGGGGTCTTTAGCAGTGGGAGGAAACTGGAAGACCCGGAGAAAACCCACGAGGTTGGACAGACAACCAGGGAATCGAAACCACTCCAGTTGACTCAATGACAGACCTTATGATACAGCGTGTACGTGCTAACCATTCGGTCATCGATCACTCCCCGGCTTAAAAAACACCGAAAATTTAAACTAGGTCTGAATAGCATATTATATAACTGCTCCGAAGTTGCTAAAGAGAAATGGGATTTAATGTCTACTCAATTCAAACTAGGTACCATTTTTTTTTAATGATTCGCTTGGAATCAAAAACCACGCCCCTTGACTCAATGACACACCTTGTGATCTAAAGCACATGTATTAGACCACTAGAACACCCCTCCACGCTGGTTTTATGGACTAGAATATTGTAATAATAGATAATTTGCCCAGATTTATGTATGTGAAAACAGCATGCTGCAATATATATTGTTATTATAACGTTCACCATAATTATATCGAGTGGAACGTTCAACCATTTTTAAATGCAAATTACACAGAATTAAAAGAAAGTTAATAGCGCCATTAACGGGCTGCATGCATGACACTTTGTAAATTTAACGAGAACATTTTGTAATTTTCTTGGGGAGAATTTTCACCTGTGTTTCAAGCATGTAATAAATACACAGATAATTCCTGGAATAGATTTAAAAATAAAATTTTTATCTTCGACATGATGTTTGGATTACGTTCGCTCGTTTTACTTTTTATACTTTTAAGTACGAGCGGAATGTTGATACGTATAATTTTACGTGATTTACGAGCTTTATGTTGTTAATGGCAAGTTTTTGTAGAAAGTTAATTAAAGCACTTCAAGAGATCATAAGTTGTTCGGTCTACAGTTCTGAGTTAGATTTTTTTGGGTTAGATTGTTTAACAACAAATGTACGTTGCTCGAGTAAATGGAATTTGGGGATCTATATATAGCGTCGACTCTCTCCAATCCGTCCTCATCTAATGGAATTGATATTGATTTTCCGTAAAATCTGGCTAACTTGGTCATTTTTTAACCCATCAAAAAATCACGTCTGTCGCAATATATCATGAGTTTACAAGGGAATCTATATTATGCTAATATTTCTAATTTGTCGAACACCATTAGCAGGTGAAAGTTGAAAAGCTTGGCTAGATATCAGACAGTTTTTCTTTCACTGATATATCGAATAACGGATGAAATATTTCTTCAAAATATCCGTCTGTTGCACTGTGTGGGTCGATAGGGATTTTAATACCTTGATAACTCACAAAATATTTGTATGTTCGGGATGGGGGTTTTACCTTGGTAACTCGCAATGAATTTTGTCTGCTGTCAGAAGCGGGGTAGGAATAACTCCCAAACTATTTGTCTGTTGGAGGTGGAGTTTTTACCTTGGTAACTCGCAATAAATTTGTCTGCTGGTGGATGGGGTTTAATACCTCGATAATTCACAAAATATTTGTCTGTTGGAGGTGGCGTTTTAAAACCTTTATAACTCACAAAATAATTATCTTTTGGGGGAGAGGGGTGTGTAATATCTTGATAAAATATTTGTCTGTTATGAGATGTTTTCTTAATACCTGGATAACTCACAAAATCACAAACTCATCCTCCACGTCAAATTTGAACAATCGCCATTTATTATTGATTTAAAATGAAAGCCATCGTCACATCCCTCGCGTTATCTTCACCAGATCCTCAACTAACTTCGACGCTCTGCATACAAATTACCGTATTAGGAAAATAAGATATTTTTTTTATCGCTAAGAGCCATTATAAATCTAACATATTTCATTTTAGTGAGGAAGAAAAATGCTAATTGAGTCTGTAAAGAGAGGCAATTGTTTTAATGTAATAGTTTGAAAATAACTCGGCCGTACAAAAGACTGAGATGAGGGGTGGTGGATTTTTTAATTGATGTCGAATAAGGTTTAAGGCTTTGGTGAGAGACAAACTGTGCGATACCCGCATAAAAATTAATGTTTTGATGACCAACTTCATTATTAGATAATAAAACTACAAATTTATCATATTATTGAAAACAAGTCGAAATTTATTAAGGATTTTGTGATTTGAATAGGGCTGACAAGGAAAATGTGACGAATCCTTCGGATGGTATGAAAAAAGCAACGTGCAACTGTTTACACATTAGCATGCACTAAAAGAACTGTCCGGGCAAAAATCTCCTACCTCACATGGGGGTTAGGTGGCGAAATGGTTAATGCGTGCGCGTTGCATCATAAGGTCTGTCATTGGGTCAAGTGGCATGGTTTCGAATTCCCACTTGTACGTACGTGACAAGGAGTAGGGTTTCCTCCATAAGTTAGTCCCGGAATGAACTAGTTTGTGTTGAGAGGATGTTAAACTCCATTTCTCTCTCTCTCCTATATTGTACTTCACCTCGCTTAATGGTATTTTATCCATTTTCTTTCTATCAGTAGAAATATATTAATGAATTTTCTTTTTTTATTTCAGGCTTCATTTTCTGCCAAGCACAAGACAATTTTTACTTCAGTCTGTCCCCACGAGATTTGGACGTGGTTGAAGGTACAGAAATAAAACTGCTATGTGACGTTTCGGATAAACGTCACATTGTGTTCGAGTGGACCCAGTCGGGAAATCGCTTACCAAATACAAGTCGAAGATTCCAGGAAGGAAGCCATCTTAGGATATTACGTGTTTTACGCGGAGAAGACGAGGGACCATATCAATGCATAGCAACCAACGAGACAACAGGTTTTTCATTACAGAGTTCAGAATCCAAGCTCAACATTCAATGTAAGTAGAATTTATATCATAAAAACATACCACACTCATACATGACAGTAATTCAACATAAAAACATACCACACTCATACATGACAGTAATTCAACATAAAAACATACCACACTCATACATGACAGTAATTCAACATAAAAACCCTGGAAAATTATAAATTAATTTACATGAACTCTGCATATTCTTTAACCAGAGATGTTCTTTTTGGGCAGGGGAGGCTTACCCCTAGAAAATCATAATACAATTTACTCTACATTTCTTACAACCCAGTAAGGGGGTTCGGTACCCCTTCCAGACAGCAGCACTTTTTGGTGGATACTTTTAGTCTTCCTCATTGAGAAATATATTAATTTTATGTCTTGACAATAGAGTTATACTTTTATTTTCTTAACGGTTTTAAGTATATTAGATGTGTATTGTCTTTTGTTTTTCAATTGAGGGGGTGGGGGTGAGGGTAGTACTCACAAAACACTCCACGCTACACACCTTTTTTTGTTAATTCAGTATGAACCTTTGAGTCTTACAGGAGAAATATCCTTTTTGTGATACAACATGTTTTTTTAAATATGTTTGATATGTGTTTTCTTGTTTTTCAATAGAGGGGGTGGGGAGAGGGGGTGGAACTCACAGAATGCCCCACACTACATCCTTCTTGTGTAAATTCAGTATGAACAGTTAAGTTTTTCAGAAGAATCATCCTCTTTACGATACAACTTGCCTTCAACTCCATAAATCTTTCCACTCTATAAAATGACTCACAATATTCACAACAAGTTTCCTAAACTTCGCTCAGATTTTCTTTCCTGTTCATCCACGATGATTTGTTTAAATTAACGAAATTCTAATCACTGTGGTCTGCGAAAAAAAGACAACATTTGAAAGTGCTCAAAGAAAATATCCATTGTATTTGAGCGTTGTTTAGCAGGAGTCTCATATCCCAATGGTCTAATAGACGAAAAAAAAAAATCCTCATTATTATAAAACTGTGTGTTTTAGAGACAGAACATTATATCCTTATTCATGTCGCAGTGCAGAATCCATAGTTTCTGATTAAATATGATATTTCTCGTCAGAACAAACGAGAATCAAATTTCTAGAGGTTTAAACATAAAAACACGTTAATCATTTTAATCATTTTAAATTCAAGTTTGTTTTTAGATTTAGACATAGAGAGACATTTTTTTTTTAGATTAATTCATATAAAATAGATACATTGAACACAATTGATTCATTTTCATAGGGGATTTAAATTTTTTGGCTTGAGCTGTTAGGGTAAGCCTTCGCAAACAGCAACAAGATCTAGGTAACCACTATTGTCTTCTTCAATTGATAGTTCCATGAAATAAAGATTGGAAATTATGGCAGCGATTTTCAGCAGAAACAGGCACTCAATGGCGCCTGAACATTAGCTTATAAAACAATGACTAAAAGAGATAGAATTAAAAAACAAATCCAGAATATTGAGATTTTTTTCTTCTGTGTGTGGAATCGAGTTTGATTCTTTTACCAGAATTATCCAAAGCTGAAATAGGTGCTCAATGGTGCCCGATCATCGACTTATAAAACAATGACCGAGAGACAGAATTAAAAAGCAAATCCAGGATTTTTTTCTCTGTGTGTGGAATCGAGTTCAATTCTTTTACCAGAATTATCCTAACAATGAAACCACAAATAAATATAGAGCATATGAAAATACGTTCTCCATTCAACTAAAAAAAAACATCTGTAGACGGCAAGTAGATCAAAGTCTGGTAATGGTTCAGTGTTTTCTGTGTCTGTTTATCTGCGGAGCTTCACGGGTTATAGACTCGAGTGGTCAGACATTGACGAATTACCAATAACATGACCTCTTCGCAAGTGGAATCATCGGTCTTCTGTGAAAAAATTGGTTTTTATGAGAAAATCTGGTTTTCTGATGGTATTTGGAAATATTGATGTGTTTTTCTTTTAGCTTTTGTCAATAAATTTGCTTTGATTGAGATTCAAGAAATCTGGTTTCTACACCAGTTATATAGCGAATAAAATATTTGCCAGTAGCTCTGACCTATTTTTTTTGTTGAGTGGACATTAAACCCCATTTCTCTCTCTCTGAGACCCCATCTCTGTAGACTATAGAAAAGTGTTGACCCATTTCATTTTGATATATATAAAAAAAAGCTATTTATTGTTTTCTAATTGCTTCTTTTAGCAAATATCATGTTAAAGAGAGAGTGAGAGAAATGGGGTTTTAAGTTTAATGTCCACTCGACACAAACTAGGTCATTTCAGGACTAACATATGGTTCAATTTTATTTAGCAGTGGGAGGAAACCGGAGGACCTAGAGAAAGCCCACGTGGTTGGACATGTGACCCTACTCATTGTCACTACAACCGGTGAATCGAAACCACGCCAGTTGACTCAATGACAGACCTTATGATACAGCGCGCACGTGCTAACCATTCGACCATCCAACCCCCCCATCATGTTAAGAAGCCATCTCAGGCTTGAGTAAATTTTATTCATAAAGGCAGTTAAGTGAATTGAATTTGAATAAAAACTAACACATTTAATACAGATTTTGAAAAAAAACAACACCTTTTCTTGACATGCTCAGAGGTACATGAATTTTTTTTATGTTTAAAAGTTGGGGTCCCTCGCTCTTTCTTTCCCCTCTTCTACCCCTCTCACTCCCCCCCCCCTCTCTCTTGCTTTCTCTCCCCTCCCATCTCTCTCTCTTCCCTTCTCTCTCTCCTCTCCCCTGCCCTCTCTCCCTCTCCCTCTCTCTCTCTCCCCCTTTCTCTCCCCTCCCTTCTCTCTTCCTATCCCTCCCCTCTATCTCCCTTCTCTCTCTCCTCCCCTCTCTCTCGCTTTCTCTCCCCTCCCATTCCATCTCCCTCTCTCATTCACTCTCACTCTCTCACTCTCTCTTTCTCTTGGCATAGAGTAGGGACTTTATAAAGATTTCATCGTAAGTACTCCTATAAATATCAATGAAAAGATTTATTAACGACTGGCTTTATAAATAAAGACACAGTCTCTATACATCACGGAAATAAATCGAACAATCTTTAGAGAAAAGTGTCAACCAGATATCATTGTACTCAGCTACATCGTAATACCAAATTTCACCCTCCATTCTGTAACACAAAAACCCTTCATCCCACTAAGCCTCGCTAATTTCTCTCTCAATAAAAAGAGTTTACACTTAATTTAACTTAATGGGACATATGATTGATTAGCAGAAGAGTCTAACTAGCCAATCCAGAAGCCTGTTACTATATTAAGACTTGTTAAATTCACTTTGTTCTCGGGTATAGGTGATAAAACACAAACATTTTTTTTCGTTTTTTTTTTTGATATAAAAATGAGGATCATGTAACTGTTACAACTTGTGATAATAATAATTAATATTTGTCCGTTAATGTTTTATTGTCTCTTTATGTGCTTGTCATTTGATGTTGCGTTAGATTCTTGTTGACAAAGGCTATGATATATAATGATAGTTGTTAAATACTTGTTGACAAAGGCTATATATTATGATAGTTGTTAAATACATGTACTTGTTGACAAAGGCTATATATTAGGATGGATAGTTGCTAATAGATGGTGATTGTGTCAAATTGTCATCTTGTTTGTAGTTTTAAGGGCCGCATTCTTAAACAACAGACATTATTAACAGCATGAAATCTCCAGATGATAGAGGTGTTCTAGAAATAAATATTATCTGGTGTTTTAGACAAACATGGTATCATTTGTTCTAGATAGAACATGTATCAGATGTTCTTGATAGAAATAAATGGTATCAGATGTTCTTGATAGAAAGAAATGTTATCAGATGTTTTGATATAAAGAAATGATATCAGATGTTCTTGATAGAAAGAAATGGTATCAGATGTTCTTGATAGAAAGAAATGGTATCAGATGTTCTTGATAGAAAGAAATGGTATCAGGTGTTCTTGATAGAAATAAATGGTATCAGATGTTCTTGATAGAAAGAAATGGTATCAGATGTTCTTGATAGAAAGAAATGGTATCAGATGTTCTTGATATAAATAAATGGTATCAGATGTTCTTGATAGAACAAAATGGTATCAGATGTTCTTGATATAAATAAATGGTATCAGGTGTTCTTGATATAAATAAATGGTATCAGATGTTCTTGATAGAAATAAATGGTATCAGATGTTCTTGATAGAAATAAATGGTATCAGATGTTCTTGATAGAAAGAAATGGTATCAGGTGTTCTTGATAGAAATAAATGGTATCAGATGTTCTTGATATAAATAAATGGTATCAGATGTTCTTGATAGAAATAAATGGTATCAGATGTTCTTGATAGAAGAAATGGTATCAGGTGTTCTATTAACTTATTTTTAGGGAGTGATGGTGGCGATGTGGCTAGGACGCTGGCTCGCTAGCCTGAAGGTCTGGTGTTCGATCCCTGCCTTGGCCAAGAAAGTTCATCCAGATTTTCCAGCGTGGTTCCCCCTCGATAGTGATGCAGGAAGGAGGGCGACATTTTGACCAGGATTATCTGGTGATAGTCTATTTCAACTATTATTTAGTTTATGAAGACGTTGTCCTGTATAGGGAGCCACAGTAAATCAGTAGGTAGGACGTTGGCTCGCTAACCAGGAGGTCCTGTGTTCCATACCTGCATTGGGTGAGAAAGTTCATCAAGATTTTCCATCTTTTTTTCCCCCTTATCATTGGTGTTGGATGGGATGAAAAACTGAGGTTCGGTGTACATATTGGCGTGGACCTAAAAGATCCCTTGGCAGTTGGAATTCGATATAAGAGTAGGCCGTAGTGACGCTGTCTGGGCAAAATTTCCCTCATAGCACACTGTATGGCGTATGCCCGTCATCATGAGCCCAGTTGGAGCAGAACAGTAGGACGTTAAACCCAATTTCATTTCATGTCCTGGTTGAAATGTCGCTCAATACCGGTAATAAAATGTAATCCTTTTCCATAGAAATGTGTCGACCCATTTCATTTTAATTTAAAAAACCCACAAT